GAGCTACTGCTCGCCCAATCCCGAACAGCTGATGTGTTCGGCGAATGTTCGCTCCCTTTGATGTGTCCCTAAGACCGACACGCGGTGGGTAGGGCGAATACCGAATGTTCCGCGTTCGGCGAATCGCAAGCAACCTGTCCACACTACTCGGGATTTGGTGAGCGTGTGCTTGGGAGTCGCCGAATGCCGCATGTGTGGAACAGCCTTAAGAAACAACCCTATTTTCAAGAAGGGTTTCATTCTTTAATGTTAAATTTTATACTTGATTTTAATTTTTATGAAAGGAATGGAAATTGTGACCTGTGAAATGCAATGATCTTTTCTTCATATATCGCCGGGAGTTTTTATGGTATTTTTCTAGAACGCGTGGAAAGACCGTGCCTTATTATAATTTTTCTACGCTATAAGGTTGACCAAACGAAATTTTCAGAATAATTTCTTGAAAAACTTTTAGCTTCTATAATAATAAATTTTGTAGAAAAACAATTTCCAGTTTTTCAGTGTACAAAAATTTGATTTTTGGATTGCTACTAACCATTCGATTAGTTACAAAAATTCCCATCCGTTGTATAAGACTAATATTGTTTTTTGACAAGTTACTGAATGGGAAAAAAGTGCGTCTTATACCCTGGTATATGTGGTACATTAAAAACTCGTGGTGCTACAGAATGGCACGGACTTTCCCTTATTAGTTTCCTTGTCTTTTCAGTCTGAGCTATCTATTCGCTTTTGCTCTGTCCTCTACTCAGCTGCCGTCTATTGACGCCTGAAACATATTTTGTTCACATTTCTTCCAGTTTTACTTGTAGATATGTGAAAACTAGTTGTAGTACAAATTACATGTTCTCAAAGTAGTATTGTAAAAAAATCCTTCATTGCTATAATGTTGAGAAATATTCAGTTGTCTTTGAAATTCTAGTTTTCATTTTCGAAATTTATTTCTTAACTCTTTTTTTTTAAATAACAAAACAAGGAACTTACATTGTTGTAAAAAACTCATCGTTAGGTCACAGTGAAATCAGTCTTAACAAACTTTTTCTTCAACGAGGCTCTTTTACACAGTAACGCAACGTGGGTATGCATTTTTTGCTTGTCAGTTCGTGGAACACAGCGCTTCTCGGAATTCCTAGAGCCGTTGTCAGCCGAGTAGCTGTTCTACGCCCTAGGAGCTCTTCCCGTCCCGCTTCCGTCGTCTCTGCCAGAGGTAGTAGACATTTTCATTAAGCTCGCGTCTGTAAAAGTCGGATGCTACTTACGAGGTATTATCCCAGCTTCTTGTTTCGCGAGATCACGGCCGTTCCTTTCCGGAATATTTTCCCCCCACGTCACGACGCATAATTCTCTTGCAATTTCCACTCTCTCGAGGGGCCTCGCTTTACAGAAGACCCGATAATACTGGTATTTCATCACCGAACGTATCTCATACATTTTGATTGATCGGAATACGATTTGGCTAAAATGGAAATGCAAATATATACATTGGTTGTTGTTTTTTTCGTCTTCTTCTTTTTCTTTTTGTGTGCGTCTTCTATCCGAAAAAAAGCGTCATCCTGTATTCTTCCTTTCCGGGGGCGTTCACTAACACTGCATTGAAAAGTTCGAGAAAACGCCGCGTGAGGCAGGTTTGTATTCCGTTGTTCCATTTCCCTGAATGTGCTCTGCATCAGGAATTGGAAGGCCCGCGATTTAACGCAACGAAGCAGTCACCGAGAATCAGAGAGAGAGAACTGCGAAATGGAGTTGCCTGCTAGGGTCAGCGTCTATTAACGGCTGTCTGCTTCATCCACGTGGTATTAAGAGATTCCAAGAAGAGCTCGAGCGCTCGATGGCGAGGTAGACCGCCGTGTATTTAGTGCGCACAGCAGAACACAGTGGGCTTCGACGAGTTGGAGGTTGGCTGTTTCTGTTGAAGTTGTTCGCCGCAATAATATTTGCCGTCCTAGCCGGACAGCGCTACGTGCGCGGTGCTGTATCTTCGCCTCTTTGTGGTCGGCGACTCGTGATGGAAGTTTGCCTGTGCGTACGCGCAGTGACGGATCAATATTGTTTTGTTTCAGAGAGGATTAGATCATTATTCTGAGAAACGGGTCGCTATCCTACGGCGTGTTTACCTTTGCGAGAGGTGCCGGATAAAAAGTACCTCTAACGCTCACTTTATTGCTCGGGCAGAAACATTGCAGCTTTCTCTGTTTGAATCTGGATCACGTGTAAGCTTGTGCTTTTCGTATCTCTCACAAACAGATTGAATTCTGTTTCGTTTTTAAGGGAATGTATTTTATCCTATCCCGTTTACTAATACCCTTTACACATGTTGTTTCATAATATAGTCATTATGATCATGAGGTTCTCGGGGTGACTCTTCGTAGTGTATGTTCACCAGTAGCAGTTGCGTAACTTGTTACTAATGAACAGCCGTACAGAAACCAAATCCGATGCAACCGATGCATGTCATTGATGTTTTTTTAAGATTACTACACTAATTACAGTTCCATGTACGATGGCCTTGGAGAGTGTATAGTTCTTTACAGTTTCAATTCATTAGCCTAGTTAGTGACAGGAAACGCGAAATATTGCTCTATGAATTTTCGTGCCAGCGAAAGACAAGGGTTTGCAGAATAACGTTTTGAATGTGTATTGGTGGCGGGGTCTCGCACGATCGTTTATAAAATAGCCAATAGCAACGCGCCGCACATTATTAGGATTTACGCTTGCGGGTAATGAGCGGAAAGTTATGAAATTTGTATTGCATTTCTCTTGGCACTGGAGGTAGTAGAATGGACATGAATTGATAGATGTGTGATAGGAATACATAGATTGGTACATTGGTGCAATGGTGCATTGGCCAGCAAGGAGCTTGACTGAAATAATTTATACTCTATTTTACAATTCCGACCGGTGTTTCTCGTGCGGAATTACCGTGCTTTAGAGACAATGTAGTCGTAGGTTTCCTTTAAAATATCCTTGAAATCCAACCTTCGGTGGCCCATCCACAGCAGCGCAGACGCGCGCCCGCGCCACCGCCGCTAGCAGAACGTAGTTCTAAATGGCAATTCAGCCTTCACACTAGACCATACGGACGCGCCACTAAGTGGATTTTACCCGGTGGCTGTCTTTCGGCCGCTGGAGCCCACGGTGGTGTGGCTCACGAATGCTTCTTCTCTTGCGGTCAGTGGCATTGGGTAGTGGCTGCGTGTGAAGGCCGCCTTAAAGTCGACCGTTGCGGTACATGTTCAAGCGCGAAGGGGTGTGTGGAGGGAGTTAGGATATGCAGGTTTAGAGCGCATCCCACACGCGTCTGCCCGCTCACACGCGGCCTTGCCGGGCAATGGGCGGGAAGGCGGACGTGGAGCAGAAGTGGGCGATAACAAGTAGGGCGAGGGAAGGATGGCGAACTGTTTGGGTGGCTATCAGGTGTCGGGGTGAAGGACAAACAGCTTGTAGTCCGGGTAGGATAGCAAATGGGTGGTAGTGCAGGGTAATTGGCAAGGGGGGACGGTTAGATGGCGTGTGGGTTGAATGGCAACCGGACAATGCTTGGAGGGGGGAGCGAGCGGTAGGTGGAATGGCTTGGCTGACGAGCGAAGGACAGATGACGAGCTGCAAGCGGTGCGTCTTGAATGTTAATGGCAAGTGGTTGGACACAAGAGTCTGGTTACTAGGAGGAGCGATTCCACTAGAATTAATAGATTAATAGCGTATATACCCTGTTCCTGTGTAGACGATAGTCAACTATAAGACCCGTGTCAAACGAACGTTGCGCTGACGCGCATTAAGTAACGCGAGTCGTCAGTTAACGCGTATCTTCCGCGGATCGGCCAAAGTGCTCGGTGCCGATTGGCATAAGCTACTGTGCTACGACGCGAGTTACTTATCGCGAGTTAACACAAGGTTCGTGTGCAGGGATCCTATATTAAAGAATGTTACCTGAAAGAAATGTATGTCGTTTTTATTCTCTTGCTAATGTTTATAGTTGAATCCAGTACTAATACATTTCACTTTTCTTTGAATAATCCCTTTTGTTTCTCTTTACTGCATTTACCCATTACTTTCCTCTTTGCACTGCATTTTAATACATCGTTGTTGACTTATCTCGCACCCTCCTGTAGGGTAATAATTGCAAAATTAACCCGCTTTAAAGCCGTGAATGGTAGACTACACAGTAAGGATATTCACATTTGTGTAAAAGCATATGGTTTTAACTACGTATGTTTTTACTGTTTGGAAATGCTATTGTAACAAGTTATATTTCGACCGCACGCTTGGTGGAGTTTGAATGATATAGAACTGCGTTTAACTTTTCTAAAATGTGAGAGATTAGGGAATTTTCTGAGTCGAGTGGTTTAAAATGAAATACTGTAGAGGATGTTGTTTACGGAGAAGAATAGTCGGTGAGAGCCAACAAATGTCAGGTGGTGAATTATGGCCAATAGACAGATGAATGACAATAGACTGCTTAGCAAATGATGCTGTGTGTTTGTGAGCTAATGATCGATGGACTTTCATGACCAGTAAAGATGGCTGGCGGCTTTTGTCGCCAATGCTGCCTGTGTTTGAAGCGGAGACGCAACAAGGACAAGCTGTGGTTGGTCTATTCGCGCAGTGATTTAAAATACAGAAAAACATTCAAATAATAAGCAAACAGATTAGAATAAAACAGTTTCCAAAACCGTTTATTTACTGCGTAAACCAGGGATTCCCAACCTTTTTCTTTTATCGACCCCTTTTAAACGAATTGTTTGCTTCATCGCTCCCCCTTACATTTCTCTATAAAACACAGCATCCCTAATCATGACTCAAGGAATTGCACATAAACGCCTTTAAGATAACAATTTAGTGCACAAATATTCTCATAAATATCTCGATTTTCCAATAGTCGAAAAAGTTTCCGCTTTAAAGTAGCTGAGTTGCTACTCTTCACTGAAATGCAAGGCTTTCAATATGTTCAATAATTTTTAAGAGCGTATTACAGAGAGTCCTTTACTGCCTTTTACATAAAGTACTTTTTTTTGTTATTTAAGGTCGCATCAACTTCTAGGTCATTAGCGACCACTGTTGCTTGTAACGGTATGGTAACTGTGAGGATGACACGATATGATGATGATGATAGGGGGTGAAAGGACGAACACAATACAACCATTCCCGAGGTGGGGCTCGAACCCGCGAGCCTTCGGTCCGAGATCGCTAACGCTGTAGCGATCTCGGTCTGATCTCGGCCATCAGATCGGCTATAAAGTACTTTCTTACGTTATATAGTATCGTTAATGTAGAGTTTAAAGTTTCTAAGAATCTTCATTCCCAAGGATGAACGACAAATACGAAAGAAAAGTGAATTTATTAATTTATATTCGGTTTGTTACTTTATATTATGTATTTATATTACGTATGACAAGGAAGAGGAAGGAATATTGTTTCTGGGCTTTTGTAATTTTTGTTTTCCAATTACAACTACAGTACGTAGTACAATGAAGAGGAAGGAAAATTGTCTTTGGACTTAATGTAATTTCTGTTTGTTTGTTTTTTTTCTTTTTTTACATTTCCAGCACATAAACTATTATTTATGCGTGTTGTGCGTGTGTGTGTGGCAGGTGCTGCTGCGGGCACGCGCGGCAGGCGCACGGCAAGAGCGCGGAGGTGGGGGCGCCAGAGGAGGTGTGGAAGCCGTCGCGCCACACCGCGCCGGGTCCCACCGACGCCTTCGGCACCCTCGAGTTCCAGGGCGGCCCGCACGCCGGCAAGGCGCAGGTCAGCCACTCTTCCACGCCTTTTCCTATGATGTACCCGGGAGGAAACGACGGGACCTCGAAAATAAGGGAGAGCGTAGGCTTCCGCGGCCGGAGTCAGTATTTAATTGGCTGTCCCGGTGACGCCGCGTCCATGGCGAAGGTGCCGACGTTTCGATCGCCATTCTGCGACCTTCTTCGCATGACGCCCTGAGGAAGGTCGCAGAATGGCGACCGAAACGTCGGCACCTCTGCCATGGACGCGGCGTCACCCGGACAGCGTCACCCGGTCCTTCCTCAGGGCGTAATGAGAGTTTAGGTCGCAGGATGGCGATCGAAACGTCGGCACCTTTGCCATGGACGTGGCGTCTCCCGAACAACCAATTAAATACCTCGAAAATAACCTATTGAGACAATATTTTGTCTAATAAACTACGTTGACATTTCGAATGGCTGCGCTACTATAAGCACCCAAAAGTCGGGTTGAAACATACTTTTTATGCAACAACGAACACAAATTTTAAAAATGCACAAATTTACACAAGTCGATTGTTTTATTTATTTCTGTGTTATTCTTTTCTTTGTGAACAAATGTATTAATTTTTTTTGTAAATAACAAACCATTAATATGTTTATTTTTCTAGAGTATTTGTTCAAACCAACTTCTGAGTGCTTATTTCGACTCAACCATTCGAAATATCGATGGAGTTCATTAGGAAAAGTAAGCATAAATTGTCTTAAAATTGTCCGCGCTGAAGATCCTATTTTCGAAGTTTCGCTGTTTCCTCGAGACATCCTATATGTATTGCCTGTTCAATTATTACAACTTTTATTTGATAATTGTCTGGGAATTTTCGTGATAAAATTTGTTGACTGTCTTGTTTTCTTCCTTCAAAATGTTAAAAGTGTTGTGCAATAAAAATTTAATATGAAAGGTTTTAGTTGTGGCCTTTGAGATCTTGCAAGTTGGCCCCTCCTTGATGTAGAGCTAAGTTTTTCATACTTTTTTACCTCAAATAATGAGAGTAATTGGAATAAAAAAACGTGAACGTAAAAAAGATTACATTTTTCCATTTACGTTGTTTAAATGTTTAAACTGAAGTTAAATTGAGTTGTGTTCTCATAGAACATAGCACTTTTAGTGGAATAGAAATGCGTAAGTTTTTAGGCAGTGCTCAGGTCGTCTAGGAGTTTCACAATCTGTACCAAACATTGCGCACTTAGATATTTCCACGTTGCGTGTCTGTTTACCTTTACAATATCACGGTAGCTGTAGAACTCATAAAATTGCTTGGATAAACTGTCTCCGTGTTGTCGAGACTGAAATTTTTGATCATTGTTTAGATAGTTTTTGAGTGCGGTATTAAGTATTGTGAATTGTATGAGAAAATTGTTCGATCTTCGCTGCATGTTTTCAAGTAAACATGAGTGAATTTACTGTTCAGTTTTCTTACTGTTCAGTTCTGAAAAGAAAAATTCCTTAAACAAATAACGGTCCATAAATATTAAATTTCCGAATCTTGGATACAATTTTTCTTTCAGTGCAAAAAAAAAAAATACTTCACCAAACTGTTGCTCAATAGTTTGTTTCTTCACCGCATTGATAATTTGGTATTTAATAAATTATTAGGAGTCGTATGGACGCTTTTAATGCGAAGTATGACGATGTCTTTACGTGAAATATCAAACGCGTAAAACCAAGATACCAAAACAATAACGCGTGATGTCGATTGTCGCCAGCGTTCACCCTTTAGCCTGGTGGCTCTCCTAGGCGGAGAAACTCGGAACTAACACACGAGACGCAGTGCACATAGTTCTAATCAAAATCGATAGGGTACGGAGGCGTCCAGGAGAGAACAGATGTGACCACTCCAGCAATTGATGGGTTAATTACGATTAACGGAGCTGGTTCGTACTAATAAACGAAAGGACTATTGAAACCTCTGAATGTGTTCTTTGAACCATTACTTTCAACCGTAATATTGTTTTGGTAATGTGTAGAAGAGAAAAAGATATACTAAATAATATACTAGTTTCTTGCAATACGTAATGTGACTTGACCCGTATACTTGACCCGTTGGAATTGCTTGTGTATTGTGTGGGTCTTACAAGTAATTATTTAATTACCTACACTTGAGAACCAGGAAACATACGAATGATGTGTTATGTCGACATTTTACGTGTTAACATTGTAAGTGAAAGGCTAATGTAAATGTAATAAAAATATATCGTATATCAAAAATTACAATAATAGGTAATAGAACTTTATCATAGATAACTGTGAATGTACCGGTATTTCTAATGAATCCACCAATCTTATCAAGTATTTTTGATAGACCCGAAGGCTAAACTTACATTGTAGTAATTGAACACCATGCAATGCAAAGATTGTGTTAGGTGAAACATAAAATAGATATGTACAAAATAATAACAAAATGAAAAATTATACATCATTGCAACTACAGGAATTTCTTAAATTAACAGAAAATTCATATTGTGAGTAGATATTTAGAAAGGATACAATTTGACCTTTCATTTCTATTTTTCTCTCTTTTATTATTGATACGTTTAAAAATATAATTTTTAATAAGGTTATTGACAAAATCCCTTATTTAAATGAGGGGAAATCAAGTTGGAAAGATGTTGCTTTCCGTTATCACGTTAGTTATTTGATTTTGGTTGATGCCTAAGGACTGACTGCATTGCGTGTACCATAGGCGATATTCAAACTCGTTTATGCAAAACAATTCTCTTGTTTTCCAGTTTTCAATTGTAGTTGGAAGCTATATCAATGCATGATAAATAAAACCAAATGAATGCGCGTATTTCATTGGGGAGTTGATGTACACACAATGGAGTTTTACCAATGATTTGTTACGGATAATTAAAACATCCTTTTATTTGGCTGGGCTAATTTTTGTACTTTTCTGATACTTTTCTAATTAAGTGTTAATTTAATGTTACATCTTTATCGTTACGTTATTTTGTTCGCTCGTTTTCTCGAAATTTAATTAAATATAAAAGAATCAGCCCGTTTTCTACGCCGTTTTGCATGGACTGTGAAAGTGGACAGTTCTTCGAAAAATGTTTCTATACATTACGAGACACCTGATGAACTGAATATAATGGTTTTCATAAGCGACTTTAAAATATTTAATGAAAACTGATTCAAAATTAATTCATAATGAAACTAAATTTACTGTGTGTCTCTACCAACCAAATACTATGGGCAAATATCAAACAACAATCCAGGCAAAATAGTCTTCCAGGTAATTTTTGAGAGCGAAATCTGTAAAGATGTCCATTGAATGTAATATTTAAAAAAAAAATTTATTGATAGTTGCTTTAACATCATTGTTATTAGCGACTATTATAGCTAGATACATTGCTAAATTACAGAAACGACATTATTCAAGTTTAATTTTACTCTTGGGTACAGAGCTAAATGACTGCAAATATAATTACATACAATAGTAAATCAATGCTATAGTACAACTGGATAGAAAATAAATTGAATACAGAATTATACAAGGTGGAATTCATAACTACAAGTGACAATGGTGTCAAATGTAAAAAAAGGTGGCTTCACAAAAGTTGATTATGCTATATTGATCTTCGGTAGAATGTGGTATTGCCTCATAATTAAATCCAAATAACTACCTTGGACCAACTTTAAAAATGTGATCTCGATTTAGTTGGACTTCGCTCAGTTCACACGCGATGGAGATGATTTTTGTATTAAATGAAGGTGGCTTAACTTGGAGTGTCCAGATCGTATTCTCGAGAGGCCTGCTTGGTCCCTGTGGCGCATTTTTTTACTGGTTATTAGCAAGTTCAATGTTTTCATAGTTCTGTGTAATAAGCTGGTGCTGTAACCAGTCAATGTTCCATTTATTTTGTATTTCCAAAATATCTTCTGTAGTGCATGATATGTTGTATGCATTGGTAGTCGTTTTGAAGTCAATTGAAGAGATTGCTTTACTAACGTCTTTACTTGCTAACAGAGATTCTATGTTTTTAGGGATCCATACTAAGGCTAAATTTATCCCTGTTTTGTAGATCTGGGCATAAGCTTCCCTAATCACAGTATTAATTTCAGTTTTTGTTATGTAACTACATCCGTTCCTTGATGGTATATAGCCTGGAAGCATGACCACATTAGGGCAGTGAAGTTGGAGGGTAAATTTAAGGCTTTACATTAAGGCATAGAACTTTGCAGTGTTGTAGCTGAGAAACTCTTTAAGAACGTACTTAGTAATTTCATCGGGCATGCAGGCTATTGCTTCTGTTCGTTCATCACTTGTTTTGCTGTTCAGTGTGACTATACTGTAGATGAAGTAGTTCGTATCTACAAAGTCATAGAATTTTCCGAGCCATTCATCGGCTGATCGAGTTCGATTCTGATACTTAGTTAATGTTAAGTCATTTTGAGGTTTGAAATAATCAATGGTTGAACTGAAAAAGATGTATGTTTATCAATGTGGTTGAATTAGATATTGACTTCTCTAAGTATTTTTTTAATCTTGCATAGAATGATTTGTGGATAAGATGATATTTATATACAAAATGTGATTAACTTAAATACATCGTTAAATGTAATTGGATTCGTGGATGAGGCCGATTTGGCTGCGTACCTAATACTCAGCAGTTGTCTAAAATTTTAGAGATGGTTCTTCAGCCCCTATTAGTATGCTTCCAATAGAACTTCTATAGAAACATACCGAATAGATTCTAAGCCCTTGATTGTGAATAGTTTCCAGTTTCTTCAGAAGAATTTTTTTAGAAGAATTGTAGATTACCGACGCGTAGTCAATATTCCTTCTATCGCATTGTATGTAAATAGTTGGAGCCTTCTGTCAGACTCCCAATTGTTATGCGATGTACATTTGAGGATATTTAATCTGTTCTTGCAGTCATCGATAAGTCTTTGGATGTGATTCTTACATGTCATTATGTCATTATGTTGTCGAAGATTGGGCAAGTATCTTGGTACTTTGGACAAGCCATAATGATTGTTGTCCTAAGTGAAGATGAGGTGTAGCAGTATGAACAAGCTTGGAGAATAAAATGTGGTATGTAATTCTTCTTGTTATTACGTCGCCGGTACTGATCTTATTCATTAATTGGGGTCAAGATTTTCCTGAGAATTTACCGTTTGATAGTTTCCAGTTCCTCAAACAACATTTTCTTATTAAGAGGTAGACATTCCGCTGCATACAATGCCCCTGGTCTTTTCACTGTTGAATAATGCCAAAGTTTTGCATTGAACGAAATTTATTTCTATTTATACACGTCTTTAGTGAAGTTGGCAGCTGATTTCAATATGTTAATTTTAGATTTAATGGCTTCTTTCTCCGAGATATTTTCCTCAATAATTTCTCCAAGATATGATATTTTTTTTAGTTTTGGATATCATACCATATTTTGTTTTCGTTGTTGCTGGGGAAGTCTTAATATTTGTCACAAATTTAGTTTTGTCAAAAGAAATTTGTAGGATGACTTTCATGGCATGTTCACTCAAAAGCTGTTTCTACAGAGTCTTGCTAAATCACCTACGGAAATCAGGCACTGTTAGATCGTCCCTTTTACAGCCAAGTCATTAATATGTTCTTCCAGTGTCTTTCTCCATTCTCTTATAACTTTTTCCAAGACCATCCCCTTGGCGAACTTCTGTTTAAATCTCAAACTTTTAGATAGTACACCTCTAAATTTCACTTTGGCATGAGTATTAGTTTACATTTGCCTAATATGTAGGTTTATTATTATTATTATTATTATTATTATTATTCATTATTATTATTATTCATTATTATTATTATTATTCGACTTATAAAAGACGAGGAGTGAAGGCTATTGGGAGGTGTTAAAGTCATAAGTTGCTGCGGTTTTACAAATCTGTCGATTTCAATCGTCATAACATGGAATCTATTTGAGAATTACTATGATTAAAATACCTAAAGCGAGATTGCATTGCTTCAGACTCGCTACTAGTCAGGAATTCTCAAATCCATTTTTATTGCAACATGCGTACTGTTCTGAAGGAAATGTTAAATGCAAATAAGTTGGGAGAAACGATGCGAAAACTGAATTAAACTCTGCTAATGTTTTGTATTGTTTTTGGTTTTAAAATACTGCTAATAAAGTTATCACGTGGTATGTTTGTATATGTGAAGTATCTAAAAATTTGGCATGAATGAAAGATGACATTTATCTCACTGTCGTAAATTTGAAAGTAAATTTCCATGTAATTGTCTTTAAGTATAGATGAATAGTATTTGTCAATAGATTTTTAAATTACAGTTGTAACCATTACATGAGTTAGGTAGGCATTTGGCGTTCAAAGTTACCTTTTAGGCTCTATTTTTTTCTTAATCTTCTTCATAAAGTTCAACAACTTAGTCGTGATCTTTTTGCGTTTGGGTTACAAATTCTTAAAATACATTGAGAACAACATATCTGAAAGGTAAGGACGTTAGTGTCCTTCATTCTGCCGCATTATGCATCATGCCACGTCCTAGTGGGAATACCGGTGAGCTGTATTGATCGTTGTGTGGTAAGGGCGACGGAGGCACTACCTGGAGCATATGAGGAGGATTATGGTGGCCCAATGTCGGAGGGCCCTCTCCAGTAAGCCTGTAATTTAAAGCCGTGCACACAAATAATTTCAAGATTCACAGAGAACAAGTTTGACCCGACCCAGTGAAAGTCAGAAAGCTGAGCGTATCCTTTAATAGAAGAAGATCACCAATTAGTAATAAATATTCAGGTATCATTTAATTCAGAATAAGTCACCATGATTCAAGATAGCTAGATACGTAAATAAACAAAATACATGAATTATGGTAACTATAGAAAAACTAATTGTGCTACAACAGCTCAACCTTTCCTGCATTATTTCGAATTTGAGAATTTCTGAAAGTTCAGACACTAAAATGAGACCTGCGCCATTCTTTTGAGAATCCCTTGTTCTATCCGTGAAAAAATTAAAGACAAAATTTGAAACAGTTTTTGAAAACACGTTATTTATATAAATATCAATAAATTGAGGCAGATATTAAGCGAAAATTACCGGTTTTGGTTTTCAAAATATTGTGCATGACAAGAAAAAGTCAAGTTAGAGGTCTGATTTTTTTGTAACGGATTTTAAGACAAAACTCTTTACCTTCAGTTGTGTAGTTCCGTAAAGTCAACTTTTTTTCAATTTTCAAAAATACAGACAGTTCGCAAATAAGACAAGTACCATATTTTTTTATCGTCGCTTGATACAAACGAGGAGACATTTTTTACAAAATAGAGCTGTTTTAGAGAAAATATTGTGTAAACTTTTTAGATGTTTATATTTCTCGTAAAATTACATAAAACTTATTGTATTTTTGGAAAATTATACATCTTATTTCAAGATGTCTCTGAGAAACGGATTTCATTAAAGAAAAAAGTCTATCTTTAACATTACAGGTGTAGAAAAAAATGTTGCTAATTTGTGATTGGTCTTCTGTCGAATTCCGACATAAACTTGTACTTAAAAGCTTAGTGCTAGTGAATTCTAAAGTTTACGGATTTACATGCTCGGTTACGTCAAGGCCTTGGCAATATCTCGCGTAATAACTCATTTCTAGGTTTTGCGGCAACGACACGCTTACAGCCTTACCTAGCGTTAAACGCCACCGTGCTCGGATACAAGACTTCGCTGAGGCTAAAGCATTCGCACCGCCATAGGCGAATATCGAGCCTCCACACGGAGATTCCATTCGACGTGAACCCTGTGGTCTTGGCTTATGAAGTAGAACTGGGCCGCCCCTGCCGCAACTGCGAACTGTTTCGTGATCTCTGCGACTGGGGGGACGGTTCGCCTCGCCGCGTACCTGCCGTTTCCTGCGACTTTCGGTGTGACAAACCCTAGAAATGTCTTACGCCTCCTAGAACCTGCCTATAGTGATGTACAAGCTCTACCGGCTGCTTAAAGCGTTGACTAAATGTGACGATACAGTCATCTCGTGGATCCTTTCTTCCAAATGTTCGCAAATCAAAAGCGTAATGATGGACATTTCCAAAACAATTTCGCCTCAACACACACACACACACACACACACACTTCTGTTTCGTTGCGGGGTTTTAAGTGTTGTTTTTGGAGACATAATTATTCCCACCTGCTTTATGGCCTCCCCGTTCTCCTGATATGACGCCGGTTTTTTTTTTCAGTGAAGAATTCCTGGAAGAAACGTGTATGTGACTATTTCCTACGAGGAAGTGGAATTACGCCACAGTGTGTAGGAACAATTCTATTTCACAATGCCTTCCCTTCTCGAATAAATCTGGCTTTGTTTACGGTATATCAGGAATGAATCAGAGAAGTTAGAGAGCAGTTTTATAATCTGTTGCGTGAATACAATTAAAATTTCCGGCGTGAGCCACCTAGACTTTCTTACGCTTCACCTGACCGACTGCCGTGTCCCCATTCGCGGAGGCCTAGCTCGCCTGGCATAATCCCCGCACGATCGACACGCATTGGCAGACAAAAAGTCTCCAGTAACTACGCCTGTCAGAGCACTGTTTCTTGCACAATTACAAATTCGTAATTCGTATTTAGTGTCGTCTGAATAGACTTTCAAAGATTGTTCGGGTGCACAAAATTAAATTAAAAAAGGCAATGCAAGGTATTTGGATAAACAGATACACTACGCCATTAATGCTTTTAAATTCGGTTTGAAATAACAACGTATCAGAAACGTAGGAAAAACTGTTTCAATGCATATGTGCGCTTCCAACAGGCATTTGCATGAGCCATTGAAAATGAACAATATGCAATGGGCTGACGTTAAGGTAACAAAATATCTGGCTCTCTCGATTCAATGAAACCTCAAATGGAATATCAATATAATTGAATTTAACCCTAAATTAAGTTCATTAAGTTACTCATTCAAAATTCTTTCAAATTCTATCAGCTTTCATGCAGTTTGTTGCGCGTATTTTGCAAACGTACATTTCCGCTTGCTATATAGCTCCATATTCTGGAAGCACATTCAATAGTACCCAGACTTTTAGATTTCAGAAAAAATGTACGTTTAATAAGTACATGTCACCCATGTAATTTCTGCAAAACTTTCTTCGTTGAGGTTCGGGTGGATTCGTGCAAAATACTGACCTATTTATTTACAAATCTGTAGTTTTTGTCAAAACTGACGTACTTTAAGGTGGGGATATATTTTCACACAATACATATATTTATAATTACAACACACAACGTGGGGAAACATATTCATCAGGTTTCAATATCAACAGCTCATCATAAGAAATCCACATGCACCTAACTTTACAACTCATTGCCAGATGACACTAAAAAATTGAAATCGATATACAAGTTTTAAGAACCACGTAATATATTTTCTGCTGCGTAAATGTTTCATACAATCATAGTCTATACTGACAATCAAAAATAAAAAATATTTAATTTAACAATGATATTTGAAGAATTAATTCAAATTTGTATTGTAAATTTTTAAAGTGACTTAATATGCCTGTAACAAGTAATGTATTTCACCTTCTTGGTCAATGACCCGCCCCCCCCCATCTCTAGTAGATGTTCCTCCGGTTTCCCTTATCCATTTAACAAATGCTAATCTTGTCTCTTCTCTTTCTTCTAGGCGTAAATGTAGCTTTATTTCCAAACGTTTTTGGAGCTTTCCTTTTGCTATTTGTATTGTAGAGAAGTGGTGGATTGGCAAAACTAACAAATAAAACCCTTAGTTAATTTACTCAAGTAAAAATGTTTTCTGTACTTCATATGAACTATTTAAAACAATTTCTATAGTCCAAACTCGGGACTGAACATTTCAAGTTTTCAAATGTTCCTAGCATCACTTTCTTAGAACTTTTTAAATCATTCAACACTTCATAGGGGTTCTGAAACACAATATAATGTGCGAAGATCACACTTCTCCACTGTTCTTTGACATCAAATCGAATACAAATTAATAGTATTGAACGTTTATTACATAACTGGACACTCGATTCTCTTAATCAGGAAATCAGTTTAATCTAATATTTCCCTGTTTTCCTCAAACACATTCATTTCAACTACGCCAACGTTGTTGGGAGTTGTAGATGTTGTTCTCAGTGTGTCGCTAACAAAAAGTTAAATTGAATCCTGGGAATTGGTAACATGGTGTGTCGAGTAATAAATTCCCATCGTGTGTCTGAAAACCCGTGAATTGCAGAAAGTTTATTTGCGTGGGCGCTGTTGCAGTACGTGCGTCTGTCGTACGACACGCGGCCCGAGCTCATCATGCAGCTGTTCACGCGCGAGTGGACACTGGAGCTGCCGAAGCTGCTCATCACGGTGCAGGGCGGCAAGGCCAACTTCGAGCTGCAGCCCAAGCTGAAGAAGGTGCTCCGCAAGGGCCTGCTCAAGGCCGCGCGCACCACGGGCGCCTGGATCTTCACCGGCGGCACCAACACAGGTGCGCTTTTCTTTCCTTCCTTCCTTCCTAGGCGAACGGGCAGCAAGAAAGGCGAACGGGCAGCAAGAAAGGCGAACGAGCAAGAAGACGAACGCAGGCAAGAAAGAAGGGCGAGCGAACGGCAGCAAGAAGGCGGCGAAACGCAAGCAAGAAAGCGCGCGAACGGCAGGCAAAAGGCGAACGGCAGGCCAAGAAAGGCGAGACGGAAGCAAGATGAAGTACACGAGCATGAGCTATGTATTTCCGCTCGCCACTGCATAATCGGCAGGCAAGACAAGGGCGAACGGCAGCCAAGAAAGGGCGGAACGGCAGCAAAAGAAAGCGAAACGGCAGGCAAGGAAGAGGCGAAAACGGAGAAAGCAAGGGAAAGGCGAACGGGAAGGCAAGGGAAAAGGCGAACGAAGGGGCAAGAAAGGCCGAACGGGGAAGCAAGAAAGGGCGAAAAAACGGGGAAGCAAGAAAAGGGCGAAAAACGGGGAGCAAAAAGGAAATTCTCCTTCCCCTCCCCTTTGTTTTTGGAACATAG